ACAGCAGCAGCAGCAGATGTAACAGCAGCAGATGTAACAGCAGCAGCAGCAGCAGCAGCATATGTAACAGCAGCAGCAGCAGCAGCAGCAGCAGCGGCGGAAGCAGCAGCAGCAGCAATTTCAACAGCGGCAGCAGCAGCAGCAGCAACAAAAGCAGCAATAGCAACAATAGTAACAGCAGCAGCAGCAGCAGCAACAGCAGCTCGAACAGCAGCAACCCCACCATCAGCAACACCAACCCCCAGCAGCAGGCCCACACCCACACCCATCCCCAGCAGCAGCAGCAGCAGCAGCAGCAGCATCACCATCACCATACTCGTCACAACCAGCCCCCGAAACATCAGCAGCCCCTGCAGCAGCAGCTGCTGCTGCTGCAGCAGCTGCAGCAGCAGCTGCAGCAGCAGCTGCTGCAGCAGCAGCTGCTGCAGCAGCACCACCTATATGTATGACCCTCTGTACTTACCGCCACCGCCAAACCCAGCAGCAGCAGCAGCAGCAGCAGCAGCAGCAGCAGCAGCAAGAACAGCAGCAGCAGCAGCAAGAACAGCACCTCTACTGATGACCTCAATCTCGCCGCAACCACCAAACCAAAACCACCACCACAAACACCACAAGCAGCAACAGCAGCAACAGCAGCAGCAGCAGCAGCAGCAGCATCACAACAACCACCAGCAGCAGCAGCAACTCCTCACCTATATGTATAACCCTTTGCACTAAAGACCTCGCAATAAGCCTATCCATTAAACCCCCCCCATATAAACCATCACCAGAACCACCACAACGAGCACAACAAGCAGCAGCAGCAGCAGCAGCAGCAGCAAGAATACCAGCAGCAGCAGCAGCAGCAGCAGCTCACCTATATGTTTATGTATAACCCTTTGTACCGAAGACCTAGACCTGGCTATAAGCCTATCCATTAAACCCCCCCATATAAACCATCACCAGAACCACCACAACCAGCAGCAGCAGCAGCAGCAGCACAACAACCCCCAGCAGCAGCAGCAGCAGCAGCAGCAGCTCACCTATATGTTTATGTATAACCCTTTGTACCGAAGACCTAGACCTG